ATGGCCATTTTCCTGACTTGGTACAGGACATTTCAAGAAAAAAATGGTGGGTTGAACTGGTTTTGTGGCTAGCCAAACCGCCCGCTTTTATGGCAATGTTAAATATAACATTAAAATGACAACATTACATTATCTCTTTCTATTATAATATTCAAGGTAATAACCAAAAACTGCAAAATTTCCTTAAAATTACCAATTCAAGGGCAGCAACCCAACAACGGGTTGTCTGATGTGTCTGAAAATTTCAGGGCAGATAGAACTTGACCTGATAAACATGTTTTACTCCATGTCAGATTTGCTCTTAATGCTTTAGTATGAGATATCTATTCAAAAAACTGCATTTTACCCCCATGTTCTATTTTTAGCCATGGCAGCCATCTTGGTTAACAAGATACCATAAGGATGATTTAGGCCAAGTTTGAATTTATTTGGCCTAGTAGTTTCAGAGGAAAAAGTTTTTTGTAAAAGTTAACGGACGACGACGACGGACGACGACGACGGACGACGGACGCCAAGTGATGAGAAAAGCTCATTTGGCCATTTTGGGCCAGGTGAGCTAATAGAAGGGCCATTTATAATTATGTCTCAGTACACTTTGAATAAGAAAGCAGTGTCTTGAATTGAAATTTTAATAAGCCAAAACCACACACAGGAAAAACATTCTACACATTTATGCAGTGACTAAGACAGATTCAAATGCTTTATGCACATGTATAGTAAAGATGATTATTCTAAAAGAAATCATCCAATATTCTACATGTCGCTGAGCGTTTAAGGCTCTTATTAACCACTTGTATATCAGTAATTGTGATGAACTTGTAATGAACTTTCACATGTTTTTAATTTTAAATACATCTTGATAATTTTTCAATGGTAGACACATTATTTCATTTAAGATTGGTTATAGCGAAAGCTTTATCTTAACATTGAATCTCAAAAATGAAAATGAGAATAACAAAAGTAACAGATGGCAGATTGTTGATAGGGTATTTGTTAAACATAGTGAAATGTTACTTTTAATGTTCAGGTCAAATTATATTCAATTTTTATATATTTTGATTTTCTACAATGTATATGATCAGGAAATTGTGGTCTCGTACTGTGTCACATGATATGATATATAATTCCGTTATGTCGGTTTGTTCTTCAATAACTGACTACAAAATAATACTGTAGGTGTACAATATCGTTTTCTTGCATCAATTAAAAGTTTAGATTCCAGTGGGATATTATAAATTGAGATTGTATCATTGGATCTTTTATCTGTGTTTTTATGTTTTCTGTTACATACATATCATCCCCCCCTAACTCGTCGCCGAGTTGTCTTTGTCGAAGAAAATTTGACATACGTTTGTAAAGGTTTGCTTAAAGGACAACAAACCACAACAAATAACCTTTAGTTTCTGTTAGCCAATATAGAGCTCTTTACTACCAACATAATTGATTTTGTTCAATAAATAACAACCACATGTTTTCGAAAATTCGCAGTATATGGGAAGTGTTTTTATCGCCAATTTTTTTTATTGTGTTCATCCAATATCTGTTAATGTTGTATTTGTCAATATAAATGTCCAAAAGATCTAGGTGATATCGTTTCATGTCGCAAACAACATACTAAGAAACCACATGAATATTAAAAAAAACAACCTCAATACATACGTCGCAACCACAATCATACAATCAAACATATGTTGATAGATCAAATACAGTTTGAAGATATTGTACAATTTTCAATAGTACTGACGTGTTTGACTTTTTTCAACGCTTTAAATGGTACATTAAATTTTCTAAGAAATTGAGGTATTTCCCCCTCTTGAAACTCACAATTGGATATTTGCTCTTTGTATTAGGTTTTAAATTTTGTTTTATTATATTGTTTCTGTTACCCGTACATAATGACAGTGTTATAATCAACGATTTAATTTTTTGGCGGATCGTTGTCCCAATTTATAGGTGTCAGAGCACCAATTCAAAATCCCTATCTATTCAACCAATTTTGTTTCAATCTCCACAGCTTTCTTAATATTTTACCGTAAGGTCAAGGAACAGTTAATGGGCTATGTCACAGATTTTGATAACATTTTGCATACAACTTTGGCTCGTTGAACTATAACTGGAAATCGAAAATAATGCATTTATCTCTTTTATTTTCTTAAATATTACTGATTAAATTCTTTCAAAATAGGTGAACCTTTGTATAGAAACACATACAATCTGCGAAAAAGGTTCTTAAGTTTGTCTCAAAATCTTCAAATCTCAAGTTTCAAATAAATAGATTTTTCTTAAAAAGTCAATGTTGTTGATACATAAATTTTCGTTTTAATGATATGAAAAAATCATATGGTCAACGACTTCCTTTTTGATTTATTGACCAAACCGTTACCTAGTTGGTAGTAAAAAACGTCAAAAATCGACGTTTTACGGCCTACAACTCGATGACGTTACGCTTACTTTGACGTATTGTGGTATTTTTTCACTTAGAACACCACTTTAAATGATGTATACCGTAAAAACAAAGTCGGTGATCCTATCATTAATTTACATAATTAAAACAGAAATTTATGTGTCAACAACATAGTTTTTAAAAAAAGATCTATGTATTTGAAATAAGACTTTTGATGATTTTAAGACAAATTTAAGAAAGGTTTTAGCCTATTTCATGTGCTTTCTTTACAATGTTCACACCATAACACATGTGTGCTGAGAATGTTGAACTCACTCAATTAAATATCAACCAGTCGACCAACTATTTTTTGTTAGTGTGTCCTTTAACTACAGTTATCCTTCCGACAAAAAGACATTTTTTACAAAGTCAGACGAATTATAGAATCGTTTATATGTCAAATTATCTTAGTTTGTCTTTAATATTTAGAAGCCTTTTGAGTTTTTTGTTTCGTTGGGTTACTGTCTCATTAACGTACACTACACATCTCTTTTTATTAAAACAATTTATATTTATACCTTTTAATAACATTAACAGTACCAATTTTACTGAATTTCGACAATTAATTTATCTTCAGTGATGCTCGAGGCCAAAATATTTGAAATCCAAAACTATTGGAAAGCTGATTAAACCAAAAGAACAAAAAGTAGCTATGAAACGGAGCCTTGCTTCGTCATAATTATTATTAGATATATGATTATCGTTGTTGTTGCTGCTGTTAATTTTCTACATTTCTGTCATATTTGTTTTTCATAAATTACTTTGTTACAAATTAGGCAGTTAGTTTTCTCAATGGAATTGTTTCATTTTTCATTTCGAGGCCTTTTAAAGCCGACTATATGGTATGGGTTTTTCTCATTTTGGAAAGTCGTATGGTTGCCTATAATAATTGCTTACATCCACTTCATTTGAACGTTGGTGGATTGCAGCGGTCTCATTGTCAATCATACTACATCTCCTTATTTTCACATCTATGGACTGCCTGGTGTTTCAACTAGTATCGCATATTACATTTTGTTTTATCGCAATAGTTTTCATTTTGTTTATTGACGATGGAAAGTTTATTCTGATGTATTATGTTTTATTTCTGTCACCACATTTGGTTTTGTGTCTATCCAATATCCATTATTTGACAAACTTGTTTTTTATTGATTTCCCTACTTTATGCACTTTCCGTAAGAAAGCCATATGTTGAATTGAGGGTTAATGAAAAGGCCAAGTTGCTAAATTTGAATTGTTTTTACATCTGTTTCCATGGGCTTTAAAAGTTTAATGAATGTGCCTAATTTAGGATTTTATGCGTCATATGTATGTGGTTTTACTCAAATTATGGTATGGAGATTCGAGATATTTGTAAATGTTTAAATTATGAACAAATTTTCACAAACAGTCGATTGTAGTAGGTGCAAATAAATGTGGATCTTTTTTGTGCATAAGTATAAATTCCGCCGAAAAAAATTCCAAAGAAAGATAGTAGATTGATCTTTTCAAAGCATTAATTTGTCTCTCTGCCCCCCGGCGACAGTTTTTCGGGAAAAAATCCCCAAAACTGGCAATAATTTCATCAAAAAGAAAAAGTCGACTACACCTTTTTATGTTCAGGCGTGTTTGAGTTGACTATTCTGTCTTGAAAGCGTATAAAAGAAAAATATATGATACATCATCTCGCTTCAGATTCTATTATTTTTATATATTTAGGCTCTAGGTTGATATAATAACATTAGAAAAGTACAGTACTAGAAAATGAAATATATGGGTTAAGTGAAATACGTTTCTAATGAGTCATAACAACAGAGTAAGTGTGTTTGAATAACTTGAATAATTTTTACTAAAAGTACTTGACGAATGCATAACTTCAAAAAAACTTCATTTTGTGTGTGTTATCTAGGGTAAATAGTCTTTAACCTCTGAAAATTTTTATTCTGCCCTTCCACGAAATATTTAATTAGAATTTTTCAAAATATTTTTGAACTTTCGAAAATTCCCCCAGACAACCGACCAGACAATAGTAGAATCCTGACTAAGGATCAGAAGGATTCGTATGTTTTATATACTGAATAATGAATGTTCCCTAATAAGTATGCAGCTCTAATCGGAGATTAGCAATTCAGAATCTTACGAGTCTCTAGTTTATTTAGGTGTGATTAACTTATAATGAACTTTCACATGCGGAATTGGTTTTGCTCATTGTTGAAGGCCGTACGGTGACCTATAGGTAATAGAAGTTTCTATGTCATTTTGTCTCTTCTGGTGAGTTGTCTCATTGGCAATCATACCAAGTCTTCTTATTTTTATATTTCACAAGTATAATTTTTGAAAATTTAAAAAAAGTGAAAAACATTTTCTCCATTAAGATTGCTTTTATTAAAAAGTTGGATTTCTAAAATTGAACCTGCTGATCTGAAGTATAAAAATATAATGGTTTGTTTAAACAGTCGCTTTGAGATAATGAAACTTTTTTTATTTAAAATTAATTGTGGTTTTCAATGATGTGCATGAACAGGAAATTGTGGTATTGTACTATCACATGATATACCGGACTTACTTAAAACATGATTTAAAACGTTTATTTTTCAGAAGGATAGAAAGATGTATATTTTAACAATATCGTATGCTTGAATCAAAGTTTAGTGTTATATTCTAATTTTTCAAAATTTTTAATGAAACCACGAATTGCATCATGGGTTATTTTATCTGTGTTTTCCGCTATATACAGCGTTCTATCATATCCTCCTCTCTCCATCGTTTTCGGGTTGTTCTTGGAGAACTTTACAAACTACAAAATAAATATATCACTTAAAAGTGTTTCATTAGCACGGTTGAATTAGGAAATACGAAATACGAATACGAAATAAATAAAAACCAACACTTTGTTTAATCAATTACAAAGTTAACAAGTATTGAAAACTAAAGAATACCCAATCGTGGTGCCAAATTCATTCTAGGCCATTTATTCCTGGGGTAAAAAATCATTTAGTGAGTAAAATTATTTTAACGTTTTATTAATAAGTTTACAGTAAATCGAATTGATTTTTTTTCAAATTGTCAGGATTTATTTTAGTGCATTAGGGTGTATTCCCGAAAGTTTTATACTTACGTCTTCGTGACGAACGCCAAAATGAAGCCTCTTTCTGGTTTTCACAGGAAGGCATGGCAAAATTTCATCAAATATAGGACAAATTAAACCAGGATTTATTTTCTTTGGGTCTGTTGCTCCTATGAAGTTCAATATTAATATCAGGTTTGCTTTGAAATATATAATAGTTAGAAAACACAAAAAGACATATAATGTATAAGTAGTATTTCTAGTAAGTGAGTTTTCAGGAGAATGACTCAGTTAGATTTAAAGTGATTTAAAGTTTGACATATAAAAAACACCCAGACCCTTGTCTTGTAATCTATTGATGAATATCGTATGTTGACCTTATATTAGATGTATTTGGTTTTGTGGTTTTGCTATCTCATTGATATACATCCCATATCTACTTTTAACCTAGAAAATACTAGTTCAAAAAGATACACAGTTAGATGATTTGCAAATTATAATTGACATATTATTGATGTCAGTATTTGTAGCTACAGTCTAAGGGAGCTACCGTTTGATTTTTATGGGGGCTAGGATGAAATTTGAAAAAAGGCAGGACAGGAGTTTTGAGTAAAAAAAAGGCAGGATGAGCAATTTGGGAAAAAAAAAAGGCAGGATGACAATTTATGTAAAAAAAATCAAGATAAACTAATGAAAAAAAGGCAGAACCGAATAGAGTGAAAAATAAAAAGGCAGGACAGAGATTACAACAACAAAAAAGTGCAGGACAAAATTTTTCATTCTATCCCCCCCCCCTCCCCCCATCCCTAAAAATCAAATGGTAGCTCCCTTACTGTATTTTTTTTCTCGCTGCAAATTTCAATCTAGAATTTTGTTCTCATTCGTCATATATAACAAATATCTCATTGAAGAGGATGGCTAATACATTAGTGAACGATACTGGTATTTAATGGTGCTTTCTGTCTCATGGACGTACACCTTTTATTTATGCAAATTCAACAAATCAAAACAGAAACATGATAACAATACAGAATTTTTACCACCAAAAATATCACACTCTTATAAAAAAGAAAGGAATAAAAGATCGGTTTAATTGATAATGAAAACGAACCCAACAATAGCTAAAAACAACGAAAGAAACAAAATGCTGATGCAGAAGAAAATAAGGTTTATGTAAAAATTATATTGATATTTCTCTAATTTTTAGCCGATTCATACTTTCCCCGACCGGTTGACCATTTTTTTTTATAATCAACGTGTTTTTAGTTTGATCTCAGTTCTCAGTTCTTCAAGGGTCAAATTTCAATTATGACGTCCAATATTCTTGCTTTCCTCTGAGTTTCATATTGTGATGTCACGAAAAGAGACCACCATTACTGATCACATCATATAGAAAAAACACATATTTTTGTAGGTTATTGAAAAAACGATAATTGTTTTCTTGATATTGTCAAACAATCATTTGAGAAATAGATTCCACCACCGAATACCGTGCAATACGATGATTCTTCACTCTCACCAGTTAAATTTTAAATATCTAAAAAGTTCGCCAAGCCTCGCGTTTTAAATTAGAAAATTTAAATGTTGTTTTCTAATAAAGTTTTGTCGAATTAGAGAAAAGTTAGACAATGCTGTTTCAGAAAACAAGTCCAACCCAAGGGAACAAACTATATACATCATTATGTATATTATTTCGATATAAAAACTGTGAAGTTAAACACATTTCGGTTTAAATTTGTTAATACTATAAAGGCATTCCTCAACCTACAGGCAAGAAATTTCTTTGTTTTAAATTCTATTTAGATAGATTGTACTTGACTCTATGTGATAATCAAACAGACTCGAATGTATTTTTACGTGCTGTTGGGTATATGGCTAACCATGAAGACTTAAAGTTACTTATTACTTTCGTTTACCTGTTATAAAGCTTACAATAAGTCCAAATACCACACATACCAATAACCCAAGTCCAGTGAACCAGATATAAGACATCTTGTATATAATTAGATAGCTGTAATATATAACATTGTTAATATTGTTCATATCTCAAAAATGTTTTTTATAAAACTTTTAATATTTGGTAACTCATCCTGCTTTTTACTAATCCAAATAATCCAGTCCCTCACTGTAATCAATCTCTCCTACATGTTTATGAAGCATTTGAACAGCAGCAGAATATACCAACTGAATCATTCAGGTGAACTTTTTGTAGACTATGCATTGTCTTAGAATAAAACATCTTACACACACTTCTGGTAACATATTTTGAAGTTAATTATTTCAAAAGATATTGGAATATAGTTGAACTTTCATTTCTTCCAATACATTTCATACATCTTTCCCGCCAAAAAAAATTTAAGAATAGCATAAATATCATAAATGTTTTTAAGCCAACTATTCCCTTCATTTCATAGAATTTTAACTGTAATCATAATGTACATACTCATCTTGTTTTTCAATTGCCGCTGAAATAGTCGTTGATGTTATATTAGTGATGGCCTCAATAGTTGTAAGATTCAACCGGCATCCTTCTGTTGTAACCGGAGATGTTGGTGTTACCACTACTTTATTTATAAACGCACCGAAACCAATCCAGCAATTCACAACTAATGATGAAAGAAGTCCAAATAATCCGCCCTAAAATGACAATACGCATACAAGTCCTCAATTTATACTTTTTTGTCATTTGTGGTCATGCTTTCAATGTAATGTATGCCAGTGGCAAATATTTCATGCATGTTCAGCACGAGAACAAATAAGCAATAAATACAAATGGTAGGTCCTGTAATAGAGGCCGCCTGGGATGAATGTCACTGGAAAATGAGGATATATTGGATAGGAACAGAAATTGTGCTTCAGAGCAGGCCACCTACGGATCCCTCAAAGAGTTGTTGCAAAGAGCGTGGCACTCTTTCTCGGATATAATGTCCCCATTCCGACCGGATGTGACTGCGTACATCCCGCACACCCAAACGGACGCCCAGCTTTGGTAAGGGTTTTACTGCCGGTCGGAGAAGGCCTAAGTGACCATATATCCATTCCCCAATCATCCTCGGGGTTTTGCAATATTGAAGTGAGTACGTTCAATACCTGTTTACATATGCATGCCAGACGGATATAACAATCCTAAATACACATTCATATATAATGCTCTTCAACAGTGTTAAATTTCATAAATAACCGTCAGACTGTTTTGGAATGATTGGGCACTTAAGGTGGGCAAATGAGACATCCAATAACCCACCCTTTTCTTATATTTTGAATATTAAAAATACATACCCTATCATATATTTTTTGACAAAAACTAGACCTATATATATAAAAATAAGCAGATGTGGTATGATTGCCAATGAGACAATTATCCATCAAAGTTCAAATGAAGTGAATGTAAGCAATTATAGGCAACCGTACGGCCTTCAACATTGAGAAAAACCCATAGCGTATGGTCGGCTGTAAAAGGCACCGACATGAAAAATATAAAACAATTTAATTGAGAAAACTAACGGCCTAATTTATCACAAAACAATTTATGAAAAAAACAAATATGACAGACATGAACCAACAATAGTCACTGAAATACAGGCTCCTGACTTGGGACAGGCACATAAAGAATGTGGCTGGGTTAAACATGTGAGCGCTTATCCCTCCCCAAACCTGGGACAGTGGTGTGACAGTGCAACATAAAAACAAACTATATTACGCTATTGCCTGGATATTTTAGAAAGATTTGACAAATATCTGATGCATGTACGACTGGTTTTAATCGCCTCTTTTAAAAAGCTTACATACATTTCAGTAGTTTAAGATACTAAACAGCAACCTTATCATATGTATGTAATCTAAATTTCTCGCCCTTATCATAGAAAACCTTTGCAAGCGGCGTATCCCAACCCCCATTATATAGTAAGTGGACCCCGAGGTTTAGGAGGTGTTTTGTTTTAGAAAGACCATTTCTACATATGGTAGTTCTTAGAAAAAATATCGATTATCTCCCCTTTAAATGTTAGACTGAGTTACATCCGCAGTTATTGTTCTACAATTATGTAAAATTTACTCAATATTTGTCTATTTATTTAGGATCAGGTTTGCCTATATGGTGCACGGACAGACAATCAGACAGGGAGAATATTTAGCGGGGTATACTGACTCTATAATCGAACACTTGAAACCACAAGATACATTTAGAATTGGTTATAAACAGTCATAGTGTGATACATTCCTTTAGAAGTTTAACCAATAATTAAGAATTCGACCTTCTTCCACGCTACTGCCGGATTCTAAAATTAAGATAGTGTTCTAATAAACAACTTTATATTACTGGGTCTGTTTTCAACATTAATTTCACTTCTACAATTAAAATGAAAATTACACTTTAAAAAATTTTGTGCATTCTGGATTTACCTTCACCAGGATTACTCATAGCTCGGCCCAAAACTGTAAGGACCAAGGATTACTCATAGCTCGGCCCAAAACTGTAAGGACCAAGGAATACTCATAGCTCGGCACAAAACTGTAAAGGCCAAGGATTACTCATAACTCGGCCAAAAAACTGTAAAAGCCAAGGATTACTCATAGCTCGTCCGAAAACTGTAAAAGCCAATGATTACTCATAGCTCGGTCCAAAACTGTAAAGGCCAAGGATTACTCATAGCTCGGCCCAAAGCTGTAAATGCCAATAATTACTCTTAGCTCGGCCCAAAACTGTAAAAGCCAAGGATTACTCATAGCTCGGCCCAAAACTGTAAAGGCTAAGGATTACTCATAGCTCAGACCAAAACTGTAAAGGCCAAGGATTACTCATAGCTCGACCCAAAACTGTAAAAGCCATGGATTACTCATAGCTCGGCCCAAAACTGTAAAAGCCAAGGATTTATATATAAGTACTTTAAAAATCATAAAAAGAATAGCCAAATCGATGAAAGGTAATTATTTAAACTTGTGTTTTTGTCAAATCTTGAATCGTTGTCTTCAAAAATGATAATTGATAAATCGTATTACACAAAGAGGCTCCAATATGAACTGCAGTGAAAACGCTTTTTGTACAGTAGTTTGCTGATTGCAGGATATATATCATATAATTAATGTACAATGCACATTTTCTCAAGATTTAATATTGTTCGTATATATATATTAGATGTAGTTACCCATTTATTGGCCCATGGAAATAAAATACCAAGAGTAAAAAGTCCAAGTAAGGGTCCACCAAGAAGACCATATATAGTGATTGAAGCCTGAAAATAAAAGAACTCCAAAATAAGTGTTTGAAGTATCAATTTCAATCACAGTGCTGTTCTTTTAGCTTGTAAATAACTTTAGTATGTGAAGTTTTAGTTTTATTTCAATCATCCCGACTTGGTTTAGTTAATAAAAAGCGAGTACCATGCGGTAGTTAAATGTTAAGATTCTTAATTATTGAAATATCTCAATATAAAAAATCTTAAATCCTTATTTCTAGCTCTGTCACTCTAGACATCAAAAATTTTCAACAAGCATATTTTTCTTATACAGATCAACATTTTAAAATCGAAAATCTATACCTATATGGAATTACTATTAAAATATTTGCCAAAGCTGAAGTCTTTAGCTTAAGAAAGGAAGGGTCTGGGTGGAGTTTACACAAGTGGAGCAGAAACTGCTTTTCCTTCTAGAGTATCTGTTTTTATGGGGTTCTTTTGTGTTTAAATATAAAGATACGAAGATGTGGTATAATTGCCAATGAGACAACACTCCACCAGAGACCAAACGACTTAGAAGTTAACAACAATAAGTCACCGTACGGCCTTCAACAATTGTTGGTCTTTTCTTTTTTCTACTTAAGACAACTGTGTTGTGTTCTTCGACCAATGGCTGTTGATGGCTTTCTTTGTATATATTGCTGTTTTCAATACTGTTTCTATATTTTATTTTATTCTTGCATAAAAGAAAGTAATCATAGTAATTAATTATAATTACCGTTAAGATGGACGACGTTAATAGTGACATGACATAAGCTACAGCAAGACAGACGCCACCAGCTAGGAGAACTAAAATAAACACAAATAACATATGCTACCGCGAGACAGATACCACCAGCTAGAAGAACTAAAATAAACACAAATAACATATGCTACAGCGAGACAGACTCCACCATCTAGGAACACTAAAATAAACACAAATAACATATGCTACAGCGAGACAGACTACACCAGCTAGGAGAACTAAAATAAACACAAATAACATATGCTACAGCGAGACAGATACCACCAGCTGGTTACTAAAAAAAAAAAAAAAAAAAAAAAAATATGCTACAGCGAGACAGACTCCACCAGCTAGGAAAACTAAAATAAACACAAATAACATATACTACAGCGAGACAGACACCATCAGCTAGGAGAACTGAAATAAACACAAATAACATATGCTACACGAGAAAAACAGATTCCACCACAAAGGAGAACTAAAATAAACACAAATAACATATGCTACAGCGAGACAGACACCACAAGCTAGGAAAACTAAAATAAACACAAATAATGTATGCTAGTGCAAGACAGGCAACACCAGCTAGGAGAACTAATATAAACACAAATAACATATGCTATAGCGAGACAGACTCCACCAGCAAGGAGAACTAAAATAAACACAAATTACATATGCTAGTGCGAGACAGACTCTACCAGCTAGGAGAACTAAAATAAACAAAAATAACATATGCTACAGCGAGACAGACACCACCAGCTAGGAGAACTAAAATAAACAAAAATAACATATGCTACAGCGAGACCGACACCACCAGCTAGGAGAACTAAAATAAACAAAAATAACATATGCTACAGCGAGACAGATACCACCAGCTAGGAAAACTAAAATAAACACAAATAACATATGCTACAGCAAGACAGACTCCAGAGGAGAACTAAAATAAACACAAATAACATATTCTACAGCGAGACAGACTCCACCAGCTAGGAAAACTAAAATAACACAAATAACATATGCTACAGCGAGACAGATATCACCAGCTAGGAGAACTAAAAGAAACCCAAATAACATATGATACAGCGAGACAGACTCCTCTAGCTAGGAGAACTAAAACAACACAAATAACATATGCTACATCGAGACAGAATGCACCAGCTAGGAGAACTAAAATAAACACAAATAACATATGCTACAGCGAGACAGACTCCACCAGCTAGGAGAACTGAAATAAACACAAATAACATATGCTACAGCGAGACAGACTCCACCAGCTAGCAGAACTAAAATAAACACAAATAACATATGCTACAGCGAGACAGACTCCACTAGCTAGGAGAACTAAAATAACACAAATAACATATGCTACCGCAAGACAGATACCACCAGCTAGGAGAACTAAAATAAACACAAATAACATATGCTACCGCGAGACAGTCTCCACCAGCTAGGAGAACTAAAATAAACACAAATGACATATGCTACAGCGAGACAGACTCCAATAGCTAGGAGATTTAAAATAAACACAAATAACATATGCTACCGCGAGACAGATATCAGCAGCTAGGAGAACTAAAATAGACACAAATAACATATGATACAGCGAGACAGATACCACCAGCTAGGAGAACTAAAATAAACACAAGCAATAATATTATACTTGATTTTTAATGAGTAACATGCATTTGCCTAATTTTAATTTAGAAATTTAAATAAAAATTCTGAAGAGGTATTGGATGTCAACTAATTGAAAACTATTCGAAGTATCAATAGGTAACTTTGCCTTACGGAGCACATGAGATCACCCCCGGTTTAGGTGGGGTTCGTGTTGTTCAGTCTTTAGTTTTTTATGTCGTGCTTTGTGGTCTGTTGTCTTTCTATATGTCGTTTTTCGTGTTTTGCCATGTCGTTGTCAGTTTGTTTTCGACTTATCAGTTTTCCTGTCCCTTTGGTATCTTTCGCCTCTCTTTTGCAATGCGGCATGTGACCACATGTTTTGTTTTGATGTTTTCATATGTCCATATAAGAGGCTTTCATGCTTCCCAGGCTTGTTCGCCTCGAGATAATTTGACGTGGAAAGTTGTGTTTGATTTGATTTAAAATTTTTTTAAATCACCCTTTAGATCTACAAGCAGTGAATATCGGTCTTTCATAGAAACAAGAGTGCACATGATGAAATATCTCGCCTGCTTTACTCACCATTTATTTTATGTTGAATGTCTTAAAGATAAAGGTTCTACTATAAGTATCGCATAAACTTAACATGTTTAAAGATCCATGACAATGAGGTCAAGGTCAGATAATTCCTTTCAGACAGACATAAACACCTTAAAATTATTTCATACACCAAATATAGTTGACCTATGGCTTATGGTAATTCAAAAAAACTGACCAAAACACAAAAACTCAACATTGACCAATGAACCAAGAAAATGAGGTCATGGTCAGATGATACCTGGCAGACAGACATTTACACCTTACAATCATTCCATACACCAAATTTAGGTGACCTATTGCTATTAACAGTTGAAAAATAGACCAAACACAAAAGCGTAACATTGACCAGTGTACCATGAAAATGAGGTCAAGGTAACTAAAACCTGTCAAACTCCTTTAAATTATTCCATATACTAGTAGCACATATAGTTGACCTACTGCTGATAGTATATGAGAAACAGACCTAATCACGTTACTTTAACCTTGATCACTGATCCATGAAATGAGATCGAGGTCAGATGAACCCTGTCTGACGGACATGTAGACGTTGCAAGGACCCCATATTACAAATTTAGTTATCCTATTATAACTATTGAGAAATTTACATGACAAAAAACTATTTTTTTTTCAAGCATTCGCTGAACCATGAAAATAAAGATCAAGGACAATGGACATATAACAGACGGAAACTTTGTAACATAAGGTATCTACATACAAGGTATGAAGCATCAAGGTCTTCTATCCTCTGAGATATAAAGCTCTTATACCCTCTGAAATATAAAGCTCTTCTACCCTCTGAAATATAATGCTCTTCTACCCTATGGCATATACAGTTTTATACAAATAGTTTACACCGCCGCCTGATTGTAATCCCTAAGTCTCGCATACTGTGATTTTCGTCGCAGGCGAGACAAAAAAACCACATACTTGTAATAACGCAATTATACATTTCTATATCATAAAAATTTATAATACCAACCAATGAATTTGGAAAAAATTGTTCTTGTTCCAGAGGGCATATTTGGAGCACATACAAGAATAAAATCCTTTAGAATAATCGCTGATATTGCATTAAATCCAGATGACACAGTGCTGAAATAAAAAAAAAGTGTGCTCATCAAATTTCATGCAGAAAGGAAATTCAATATAGCTCAGACAATTTTCATATTTAGCCACTTAATTGCAGAGATTAAAAAACTTATTTTAATGAATCATGTCAGTTGTGACTTATGCTGACTGTTATTTTTTTTTCTGACACTGTAAGCCGAAAAATATTCGCAGTAGCTTAATATTCTCTATTTTCGTGGTACCGATTCTTCCGCAGAAATAATTCTTTTCCATAGTTTATGTAAAGATCCGCAAAATTTTTAAACAAATCGAATGCAAAATTTAATTTAACTTTGAAATCTCGAAAAAATATGACGCGATTACTGATGGTCTGGATAAGGGGTCCTTCATTTCTGTTTTCATTAATTTTTTAGATAAATTTTCTCAATTCTTTATATCTTTTGCTTACTCATTATTCTAAATTCTATATCTTAACACCCAATTATTCTCTCTTCTTTATTTTTTTGGCCCTGTTTATCTCTATTCTTTATATTTTTTGTCCATTATTCTGCTCCTTTTGGCCATTATTCTTTATTCTGTAAACCCCATCCAGACTATCATTACTTTCAGATTTTCAGTATTCAATTTGAATTGATTTTTCTATTGTCCTCTCATGGAGTATCAGTAGCGAAAATAGTTGTTCATCACTGAATGTAAACGATAAAAAATACTGAAATGAAATACTTCAATAGCACTGAAGATGCATATACTGAGAAATGTAGATAATCTGCAAACATGCTCAAAATGACTGAATTATAGTATCAATGTAACTTAGCAGTACCCAAAATTGCACCGTGTTACCCAATTTGCACCCATTTTGCAAAAAACGGGATGGATATCTTGTAAGTTTTCTTAGTTGCTAAACAATTCGTATTTTTATCATTTAACATTATGAACGTCTTTTAACATATTTCTAAAATACTCTTAAAGATACACAAAACGGTCACATTAATAATCAACAGATGTAGTATCCAGTCAAAAATGTAAAATTCACGGAAACGTTGAATATGACGTCTACAAAAAAATCTACTTTTTAAAACGAGAAATTAAAATTAATCACAGATATCCATTTCATATAAAATGCATATCAAGCATGAATTATTGTCAAATTATTAGAAAAAATGTTTAGAAATAAAACAAAACATCAGTTCCCGATTTCTACGAATGTGCAGCTAATCGTGGGTGTAATGTATGTACTTCTCAATCATTTGTCAATGTAGAATCTGGGATCTTTTGGAGGTCGGATCAAACTCATTTTCTATGATTCAGTATGGATTTAAAATCAAGTTTGTGAACTTTATAGTAAATACGGATAAAACTACCAAAAAAATACAGAAAGGCAAGTTTTATCTGTTCCTTGAATAAATGAAGGCGAAAGAACTGTAAAATTAGGTAACCTCAGATTATATAGATAGAACGTACCTTAAACTTCCACTGAAAATGCATGATATAACCAATCCTGGAAGTCCATGGTATTTTCCAACTATATCCATTGCAAACAAAGGAATCAACTGAATTAAAAAAAATATAAATGGGTCAAGCATTACATCTGAAAGCAACATTAAAACACTGATCTGCAAGATCAAGAAAGACCGTCTGTCCGTTCGTCCGTCTAGCAAATATTTTTGTCATTCTTTTCTCATGATCTACTGAAAAAGTTTTATATTAAGGAATTTACTGATCGGCCAACTTATTCACAAAACCGAATAAAGTCAAGACTTTATGTTAAGTTTGAGATTGGAAGAACGCATTAACACATAAAAAATCTATCAGTTATAATTTCAATAAATGTACTAAAAATGATTTCCAGATTAAATATTTTCAGGAGAACTCCCAGAACTATTTCGCCTGTACCGGAATCAACAGTCTTGTGTAAACCTTTTTGTTACCATGACGCTCACAAATAAAATAAGACTTAACATATGACATTGGTAAATAATGTCTCACGTAGCAGCACTACACATGGGAGGTATACTAACTTTTGTGGGTGTGTTTTATTTTGTTATGAAAGATGAGAATTAAATAACATATATTTCAAATTGTACCCTTGAACTACATGTAAAAGATTTAGAAAATATTATTATTTTGTTCTGCTTTAATACAAATAAAGTATCTCCTCCAAGCTCAGTTTCATCATCTATATACATGTATACTTTTCCTGAACATACAGCGAAAATCAATCATTTCATATAATTTTCAACAGATTTATGGGATCAATACACTTACCTGATCAGATTTTGTAACAATTCCAGCTTTCACTGGATCACACGTGCTATAATACGCGAACATGACTACTCCAACAAGACAGACCAATGAAAGGATTGACACAATACACACCGCATTCACCCACAATGATCTTCAAATACATTTTGACAGTATTATATGTTAAGGCAGTATGGGGTATAAACAAAAAATGGAGATAAATAAAAAAAGAATGTATCTGAGGACATGAATGCCCCCGCTCAAGCTTTGTCATTTTTTAAGTTAAAAATGGGCATAACTCTAGAACGGTAAGTGACTCACTGCCTAAATTCAAACTCTGTCTGCGTGTTGTGGTTCTTAGCATTGTGTATGATTTTATAAAATTTGGATGCGTAAAAGTGCGGAAACGAAAATGGGACGGACGGAAGGACGGTCAAGGGTAATACTTAATGCCCCCATTGCCTACAGCGGAGGCATACATATCAAACTTTACCTCTTGAATCTTGAGGGACTTAAATTTTTTTTGGATCAATAAAAAATGATTAATTTGCAAAAACAATCGTAATAATGAGGTACAATTATGTAATTTTCATGATTTTAATGAAAAATCTTTAAATGAATTACATTCCTACCTTCTACCTATTATACTAAAAAACTCATCAGAGATAGCTGGTTTATAATTTGTTACACTAGACACACATTTCGCCTACATAAGACTCATCAGTGGCGCTCGAATCAAAATAGAGGGAAGGACAAATCAAATATTATTGTAAAACAGGATAACAATTCACACTAGATCAAGAAAGCAGAATATACAATTATGATGTGCAGGTAGTTTTTCGTTAAAGACATTCCTGCAACTATACAAATGAAGAATTGCAATAACTTTGATTGGATGCGTTTGTTGTTATGTTGTGTACTTCCACCTTTTATCGATTCTTTTCGTAAATACAGATTTAAATAAAAGAAATAGGGAAACATTACGCCACTATTTGGTGAAGCTCTACGGATGACCCAATGCAAAGTACTTACAATTTAGCTTTTGAAAGTGATGAAAATGAAACAGCTCTTTGAATCTGTGCTTGATTTATACCATATACGGCTGTCCATATAAATCCACCACCAACTATCATATTCAAAACTGAATGTCTTTCGGACGGGTCTGGATTCAGTCTGAACATAAAAATATAATGTTTTAAATTTCTCAAGAGAGAATGTTCTATCTCTGTTGCGAATAATGCATCTGTCTTCTGTGGCTCATTTTAAAATGCATAAATTCAGATGAAAACAGAAAAAATGGGAGATAGAAAATTTGGATAACATGAACTCCAAATGGAATGAAACTGCAAACGTCATTCTTTCATTCATTGTTTCATTGGCTATAATACCACATCACATCTCCTTATTACTTAAACTGTCTGACCTTTTCATAACATTTAGGTGCAAAATATACTGATCTTGATTCGAAAAAAAATATTAATATACTGTCCTTTTTGGGTTACCTTTTTGGATATTGTACTTGAAATTTTGATGGAAGATGACTGAAGTTTGTGATAATTACATTTTTGTTGTTTTAACGCCGTTCTTGCTCAGTTTTTCCAGATTTAAGCTACTCCTTTATAGATAATAGAAGGCATATTTTATTAAGTTTTTAAATGGAGGAAAGACTTAAGGTTGTAGAGAAAGCAGGCTTATAATTTTTATTTTCTTTTTACTCTTTTCCTTTTCTTTTAATAAAATCCTTCATATAATCAATATTTCAGCAGTGATGTTTTGCTTCTTAAACATTTTCCCATTACCAAAAAAAGAACGAATATAAAGCTTACATGAGGAACTTAATTCTATCATTTTGGTCAGCTACTCTCCATGCTACATCTAAACCACCCAATTTTCTGCACCCAAATATCAGAAGTATTAACATTCCGGCAAACATTATCAGTACTTGAACAGTATCAGTCCAAACTACAGCTTTCATGCCACCCTACAAGTAAAATCAGTAAGTCAATACACAAGTCATGGAATATTTCAATTCATGTACATGTGTAGAGCAGAAAATTGTGCAATAGTTGACTGCACATAGCATATCGAGCTAACTCTAAATACACAATTAACGTTTGGGATATATAGGAACGCTACATCCTAATCAAAACTTTTTTAATAAAACAGTGCCGGAGGGAACCATATTAACTTTAAACGGAACAATACTTCGTGCAACAACAGGGTAATCGTGTCTTGCTATGTATTCATCACCCGTCAGGCAAACTTACACTCATCCAAGATGTCACACTATGGAATAGGACACAATTTACAATAATGAGTCTGTGACAGGCTCTTATTAATTCGTATAATCGTATAATATAAAACTTATTAACTATTTAAAACAGATTGTTTTTTTTTCTCTGTTTGTGTTCGAAAGAGACTGTAAATGTGACGGGTACCGGAATCATCAAGCATCACAGATTGGTGATACAGAACAATTACCATTATGATGAGAACATGATTTATTTATTAGTTGTTATTGGCTTTGAATTAACTTTCAGTAACTATGATTACCATTATATTGGTGCTATCGTATATACTGTATGTTTTAATCTACATGAACTAATCAGAATGGAAACTTTAAAGATGTGTCTACGACAGTATTTGTACTATATTGTATCAATGCCTTTTTTTTTTTACAATAATTAGTAATAATATTTGAATTGACATACCAAAGCCGTATACAGTGTACAAACAGCACATACTGCTACCAGTGATCCCCAGAGGTCGATCCCGGTTGCTGTAAGAAAAGGCATTGAGAGCACAATAGATAGGATACACATTAAAATAACCCACGACACAACACCAGATTAATTGGTCATTCTGTTGCAACGTAATTGTCAACTTTTAGCTGTTTTAGAAACTTGGACCAGGTGAGAGAATTGTTTTTAATATTTTAAGAAATTCATGAAAAAACGCTTTGGACATCAATGTTTTCTACATTTTCTGATATTGCTGTTTTAAAATTTTTGAAAGCATTTCTAATTAACAAAATGCATCTCCCTCATGTATAGCTCAGATTGGTTTCCGGCTTTGGCTTTACGTTTTATCAGTTCTTCAAAGTTTGTATTATATAAAGATAAGAAGATGTGGTATGATTGCCAATGAGACAACTATGAGTATAAGTAATTGTAGGCAATCGTACGGCCTTCACCAATGAGAAAAGCCCATACCGTATAGTCAGCTATAAAAGGCCCCGACATGAAAAATGTGAAACAATTCAGTTTTATGTTCAGTTACATATAGTTTGGCCTCGATCCAGAGCGTCACTAAAGAGACATTAATTTTAAGAAATGCGCATATGGTTTGGTAAAAATGGGACCGTTAATGTTGTTTGTACCAACAGAAGTGGCACATTTCTTAGTATAAAGTAAATATTGAAAAATAACAATTTTATATTTTTTTTTAGATTTATCCAACTCTAACTAAATTGCAAAACTGTAACAATTTTTACTGTATTTCCCTTACTTAAAATGAGTACAATAAGAATTCGTACCGATTCAAGTGCTAGTTTCTATTAAAAATGTATAGCGTTTTACATCATTCGATTTTCAGAAACTATTTTTTGACGCGTCTATCTTTTTGAAAATAAAGAAACATAGAAACATATTAAACTGATGGTAACTTAAATACATAAAATAATTATTACCAAGACCATACCTGCATTCAAAGCTAAAGATGGACCGTACAATACTATCGCCATATAAATAAGCTGAAAAATTGAAATTCAAATATAAATCTTAAATGTAAGTCAATGATATCAAAAACAGATAAAGGCTTAGTTCTGGTTATCAAAATAAGGAGCATGATTACCATAGATATAGATTTTGTATTCCTTGAACAAGAAAACAAAAAACAATGTTGAAACTCCCAGATAAAAAAATAAAAAAATAAAACCAATTATAAATTATTCGGACAAAAAATCAGGATGCTCAATGTGTTTTAGTAGATATGAAATACTTTAGTAAGTGATCTTGATTTTATTACTTTGGAATCGGTATACAATGCCCCAATACAGGTACTACACATGTATCTAAACAAGTAAGATCATTAAAAGTGTTGTTAAAAAAGAGCGGGGTGTACAAAATCTGTGAAAGTATACGACAACTCTGTTTCTTACGTTGCCAGTATTTGTAGAAACTGTATGACAAGGGTTGTTAAAATTATAAATTGAGGTAATAAGTCATTTTTTGAATTGTTTACTATAAGTTAAGGAATACAATTTGACAAACTCCGAAACAGTGGTAACGTCTTCCTTGCTACACTACGCTGATAGTTTAGCGAAGCTGTTTCGGAATTTGACAATTTGATACACGTAGAGAAATGCTCAAAAGATATTTGATTACTAGTACCCCAAGTGGTGAGTTAAATGTGGAACTATATTCTATAGTGATCACTTAAGCGTCTCCCATCCGTCAGTAGAATCCATGCTAGAGAAGAGACATGTTTTGCTTTGTAGGATGTTAAAAAGAAACAGTCGTGTCCGATCAGAAGGGGGCCGTTAAATCCGATGCCTTTAGTAGGAAGATTGTTACACTCGACTCTCTGATGGTTAAACAACGTTAATAACCTTTAAAAGAGTCTATAGTTGCCTGTTGTGAGGGAACATCTTTTATCAAAAATACCCTCATTTTTCAGTGGCTGTCGAAATGCCCGCCATTCATCCTACTTTCCTGAACCAGCCTTTAGGATTTATTGTTAATGTTTTTTAGTCCTAATTTTGCACGAAATATTTCCATTGACCGTTGAGAAAATAAAAATCAAATATTGTTGAATACATGGAATCTTGTACATTTTACTACGTTCCATTGAGAAAAACCGCAATTTCCGTCCGTTTAAGAGTTGTTTTTACTCATAAAATTAGGGAACAGTACCAGTGCGTCTTAAATAGTAGTGCAGAATATGATAAAGTTTTAAGAAATTTCATGTCTCTTCAGTGATGCACGAGGCCAAGATAAGTTCGATACAATTTTGTATTGTAATTCTGCCCAGTGTCGGGACCAGGGGGACAGTCGGAGCATTGGCCCTCTTATGTTATATAAGCTTTGAATTAAGTAGATTTTTCTGATTTTTTAGGGATGCTCTTATTTGTCGGTAGATCCCCGTGACTTACCATATTGCAAATCTTGCATCCGCCACTTCTGTTTGGATAAACACTATATATAAATAGCTGATTATACGGTACGGATTTTACTCATTGTTTAAGGCCGTACGATGACATGAAATTGCGTTTATATTCGTCATTTGAACTATGGTGGATATTTGTCTCATTGAAAATAATTCCACATCTCCTTGTTTTTATACAGACGGAAATGTTTGGTGTTCTCAGTACATTTTTTTAAGATTTTTTTATACCGGGCCTCCCTTTCGGAAAATACTAGATCCACCACCGATAAAGAATCCCATAGTAAAATATATCACATTCAAGTACATATTCATGGGAACCACAGATCAAATGAACGCTATAAAATAGGGTTAAATACGGCGTTTTATTATTCCATGTATACTTATTTGTTTAATTTATTGTTGTGAAGGTTTTAATGCTGATGTTAACCAGTTTTGTTAAATGACTTCTATTATATATATATATATATAAGCCCACTGCATCGACACCAGGTAAGAATAATGGCCAGTATGACAATTGATGAACAGATGCAGACATCAGACATATTCATGACTCGCAATTACATTATAGAGTCAAACATCAAGACGCTTGCATATACCATCTGAAGATTTTTCGTAGTAAGAACGATAACTCTGGTGTAACGTTTATTAGTTCACAACTATTTTATTTCGGATTCTTTTATACAGATACATGAATGACATCAAAGCAACATACCTTGAACTTGAAATCTAATGTAGTAATTAATAGAACCTTTATTTCAAATATTACCTGTGCGAATACTCAAGCAAACCATATCAGGTAATGTTATTTCGACAGTTTGCAAAGTTAAGATTAAGTGATCATAATTTACTGATTGAAAAAGGGAGACACCTAAAAATTCCCAGAGAAAACAGGTTGTGTCAGATCTGCAATATAATCGAGGATGATAAACATTTTCTCTTGTATTACGGAAAAGACTCCACCATAAAACCAGCTTTTATTAAGAAATTGATTGAAGTAAATTGTATTGAAAATTTTAATGACCTAAATGATGATGCCGAAATGAAATTTATTCTCTGCCCATCAACACAAAAACAAGTAGAAAGCATAGGTTCCTTTATTAAGCAGTCATTAGTACTAAGGGTAGATGACTTATAATTGAATTATTAACTGTTATATATATAGTATGTATTAATTAGTTTGTTCGTTATACTTTATTATTATACATGCTTCCTTCTTGTCATTTATATTATACTATGTTTTGTTTGTTTTAGTCACAAATCATATACGTTGATTTATACGACTATAAAGTTTTGGATTAAATTAAAGAAGGCTAAGTAAGAAAGCAAGCAATTCTTACCATCATTATCATGTAGAGGATACAGGAAATTATTCGTACCAAAGTTCCAAATCTTAGATGAATATACTGGAATGTAAAACATCATAAATTGCATTTTCTTTTTAATAGTTATACATATTTTGTAACTTGCATTGTTTTCAATACAAGCAGAAGCGTTCTCGTTAATAAAGCTTCATCTAACAAGAAACGTCATAAATAACGGACTTAGCAACAGCTTTTCTAGATTAGTTCATTAGACATTATCTTAGTACAAATTTACGGTAGCCGGTTAGTTTCAGGGTGTAGTTTAATTTTAAGTCGTTATCACGACTAAGTAACTAGTTATAAAGACTAAGATAACTCATTATAACGACTAAGCTAACTCGTTATAACGATTTAGCTGACTCGTTAGAGCGAATTAACTTAATTGTGATCACGACTTAGTAACTCGTTACAATGACTAAACTAAGTGGTTATAACGAATCACCTCGTTACGTTTAATTCATTTATTTGCAATTGATTGATTATAATAATTAATTTTTTTATTTATTTAGATAAACTGTATGCACATGTATACCCTAAGGGGGCAGATGGGATACACGATATTGATCACAGGAAAACTACAAATTAAAGACATGATATACCACTAGTAGCAATATTTGAGTCTGAAAGGTCATTTTGGTCTGATCAAGTCTTAATCGACTGGATTTACTGCTAGAGAAAAACGTCAAGACTTTTTCAGACTTTCAGACGCTGTCACGATATACCGTGTTAAGTCCGTTTAGTCATGTCAAGATAAACAAGACAGATTGTTCTTGCACCCGATTAAGACTTGATCAGACCATGTTCATATCAAATCAGACTAAAGGTAAAAATGCTGTTTAGACTTTGTAAGATCGTGTTCAGTCGTGTTAAGATTTTAAATATTCGGATGCAAAACGGGCGACACTTTCTCTGTGTTTATTAGGGGTTGTTTCCCTTTCATGAATAAAATCGGAAAAGAATGGAGGGTATTCTTTTGTGGTCTTTTAATGTTATGCTGTATGTCTATTAATTAAATAACGTTTGAAAAGTTGCAATTCATTTTTTTCCGATGTTATTTCACGTAAACATTTAATTGGTTATATAAGAAAAGAATAATTGGTGTAACCGGAAAAGTGTGTAAGTCATAAAAACTTTGCAGCCGTGCTTTCTTGCATTAAGTAATTTAGTATTTATTCGTTCCGCCTGTAAAGATATAATGATTAGTAATAAATATCAAAAAATGTTCTTAAACACATTTAGGTCTGATTTAAAATAATTGTTCTTACCCATATAAAATTAGTCAAGGAAAATATATTCTAAGTATCTTATTTACTTTATATTTTTCTAATTTTTGACAGATGACAGATGTTTGGTGAAAGTTATTCACATTTCAATATACGGATTATCTGAGCATTCAACCGAAACGGACTGTCAAACACTATCTTAATAATTATAAATACCCGTGCAACGCTGTGACTGTTTTATCCATGGAAGTTATGTGAAATATGTTGCCATGTTTTATCATATATAAGGATACACCGGATAAAATTATTACATTTACAAATTGTAAAACATTATTTCAAAATAAATGCAACAAGAATGCAAGCATATTTCAAAAATCTAGGTAACAGCTTATATTTAGTATAGGTAACAATAAAACCCGATTTTGATACTTCTCTGACCTTTTTTAAGCATCAAGTCTTTTTTTAACAAGAACTAAAAAAATAAGAATAAACTATATTATAGAAAAATATAACATGGAATAAGTTATGAAACAATTGGTAAAAAGAAATGTACATAATTATACATCTAGTTTACGGTTTATATTTCTGTTTCGTAGCAGATTTGTTTTATATAGCACCCGTGTTACTTCTCATTTCAAAAACAAAATGTCAAAGTGGCTTGGTGCCTAAACGGCTTCATGGTGCTTCAAAAAATATATCCTTCTAATGATTAAAATTTAATAAATCTTCATTTATCAAGGCTAATGAACAATTTCCCAAACTGTAAAAAGAAAATATGTAATAAAAAGTAATTATTTCAAGATTTGTCTCTTATATAATCAATCAATTGTCAACAAATTATTTGTGACTTTTTGTCCTATCAAATTTGTAACTTTCTGTCCTGTGACTTTCTTTCCGCTGTCCGTTAAAAAGGACCTCCCGCACTCAGGGAGAGAAAACTGCCGAGACTACCAATGCTAATTGTTAGATAGAATAATAAGTACATCAGTCATTCTCAATTTTATATTTATATAATCAAAATATGCATGCTGGTGCTTAAAAGAACCTGTTTCAAATGTTTAATTTAAGGAATGCTCTGATTTCAAAACTTAAATCTTCCGCTGTTGCTTTCGATTGATATCATTTGCATATCATGTAATATTGTTCGCTGAACATTCAACTATCTTAGCCAAGCATATGCACTTCGGAATGCAATCTATAGAAAAAAAAATAAACCAGTTTTAAATTATGTACATTGTGCGAGTGTCGTGTTCGACTTATAATCCTTTAATCTATAAAATAGTCATCAGTTACTATTAATACAATTATACTGTTGTATTTTTGACACTTTACTCAGAAAGATGTGAATATATTTTAATTTTCTTTCAACAAAATTTCCTAATTCAATTTGCTACTCGTCTACAAAAAAAAAACACATTTATTATTTCATTTTTGCCATCGAAATTCCTGATAGATATGTTTTTTTTTTATCTATCTATCAGGTAAATATCAAAAATGAATCCAGAGTTTTTCAAGTACATTGACGGTTGTGAATTAAGGATTAGTTACTTTATGGAAAACTCATTTACCTGGATGGTAATATTATCGTTAGTCTTTCTTTTAATAATTTGATCATTTTTCCTCTTTTGCAAATTATAGATAAAGAATAAAATGAAAATTTGTTTTCGATTGCATTCAGGCAGAGAGAAACATATATTTTTTTTTATTTCAAATAATTACGGCAGATCAAGTACGGAAATGACATTATGTAGCATGATATCATATTTAATAAGTAATAATTTACAATGCCATGACATGATACAATTTAGATTGAACAAATTCTTGTTCAGATCCAGGGACACAGATGTTCAAATTCTGAAATAATATTAAATGATATGGCCATTTAAGACGTTTTGTTTATCTAAGAGGGTTTTCTTTTGTCTTTTCGTATTTTCTATGGGCCGGGAAGTTCTCGAAACTTCATTTTCCCGTCAAAAATACAAAAAAAACACTAAGTTTTATAAAATGAATTTTTAAAAAGTATTATCTGCAATGTTGCATCCACAATGCACGCTTATATATATATATTTCTTTTCTTCTAAGTTCTTCTTTTATGTTTTACTGCTACTTATATATATTATTTATATATAAATCAACGAATGGTTTAAATGTATAAATGTTATAAAGTTGTTTTTTTTTTGGCAACACAATATATTTTGTAATCAATTGATTATTCAATCTTTAAACACGTAAATGCATGCATAGAAGGCTTCCCTTAGATATGTGTTAGGTGATTTATGATTGATGTTTGCGTAATGTTCAGCAGCAAATATACCATACATTTCTGGACGAAAACAAATGATAAAAAAATAGGTAAGGTTACAAATAAAGGGGGCAGGGGGGACTCCCTTTTTTGACCGTCACGATATGGCACAATAGTGCGGAAAGTGGCGTTAAACACCCAACAATCAATCAATCAGTATTATCTTACCAATGTATCAAGATTGTTTTGTAACAAACGAAAAGTTTTCTGTTTTTATTAACACCACTGGGCTTCCACTTGAAATTCCCACGGAAGTTTATGGTCTTTACTTTAGTCTTGTGTTGTCATCCGTATCAATACAGAGTTAATCCAAATTGGAAGTGAGATTCAAAAACGTCTCGGATAAGTTAGAGATATATCTATGCCAGAACAGTAGTATTAAATATACAATATTAATATTGCACACAATTTTGTATACGTATTTCTAAAATAACGAAAAGGCTTCATAAGCATATGCGTGCCTTAGTTGTATGATATTGTTGGAATATATTTCTATTTTGACAATCGTATGAATGTGATCTGTGTTAAATCTGGTGATGAATCAGTGGTCAGGGATTGTGACAGTGATCTTCCGTGTGAATTGGATTTGCAAATTTGAAAATAGTGTATTTGTTAATTCCTGTTCTCTAAGATGCCGTATTTTGTAAGTAATAAGCATCTGTCAGATGACATGTTTAAGACAAGATAAGACATGCAACTCTCGATATGTGTCGCGATGGTCTATTAATGATCATATATGTGTTAATTGATTGTAATCAGTGGGAATCCTTTAACATGTTAACTATCAGCAAGGATTTGTATAGTTTTAAATCCTTGCTATCAGCAAGACACTTGGTTTTAAAGAGAAAGAAAAATTATATTTAAATATGCAATTACTTGGGCTGTAGTAGAAAGAATTCACGACTAACTATGTCAAAAAAGTTCATAGTTTAATTTTCATTTGGCATAATTACAAATCTTTCTTTCAAAAGAATCTTCTTTGTCCTTTTTGATTATGTAAAAAAAAATCTGATAAAAGGTATTTACTATCTGTTTTATACGCCTCTGAAACCGTAAACGATTGACTTTACAATGGTAATTATGAGGTCATAAGTAAAGGTAATTTTTCAGTCCTGAGTTGCAAGTAAATGGCACAAAGTCCCACGCCTGACCGTCACATAATTGATAGGACAAAAATTCACAATTAAATAGTAAAACTGTTTACTATCGTTTGAATATATTAGAGAAACTTAAATTATTGAAGTACTTTCTTTTTATCACATAAATTCATTATACAGCTTGGGATATTGTTCGTTAGAATTGATAAATGAAGACTTATCAAATTTTATTCATGCAAAGGATATATTTCTTGGTACCATAAAGCCAGTCAAGTAATAACAAATTTTCGCAGCCTATTTTCTAAATAATCACTAGATCATTATGAATTCTTTTACCGTGAATTAATTTTGTTTACAAAGTTGTTTATACTTATAATTATTAATGTTCAAGAAAACACAAACTATTACTATGAAATAAGT